GGTCCATACACCTAACAAGGCTGAAAAAAAAAAATCACAATCACAGGACAAGATAGCTGGCTTTCAGAAGCTCGGCTTGAAGACTTAGATTTACCTCCTAAACCAACAGCACCCCTTCACTGCACATAATGAGGCAGTCACCTGATGGAAGATACAATGCATGATCATGTGGGAGAAAGAAAGGAGAAATTTCAAATATCACACCTGTTTCAAAAAGCAAGGTTAGCAAAAGATTTTTATTTTGCCCACAGAAACAAAAAAGCAATTCAACTGATTTGATCAGCCTGCTGTTGAATAAGGTGTGCAAACCTGACAGGAAGAGGATAGGTTTTTACATGCTTGGCAAAAGCTATCTATATTCATGACAGAGAGTGTGTTATTAAGCATCTGAAAAATATTTTTTGCTTTTCATGAGCACAAGAATCTGACTCTTCTTGGAGGTTCACAACAAAGGACAAGGGAAAACACACACAAGCTACAGTATGGGTCACTCCAGTTAGACCTTAGGAAAAAGGCTTCATAGTGACAGTGGTCAAACACTGGAATAGGTTACTCACAGAGGCTGTGGAATCTCCATCTTCTGTGATATTCAAAACCCAAGTGGACATGATCCTGAGCAACCTCATCTAACTTTCAATCAGGCTCAGCAATGAGCCAAGTGGTTGCCTACACAACCTCCTGAGGCCTCTTCCACTCTCAATTATTCTGTAGTTCTGTGCTCCAGCCTCAGTCCACTTAGGCTATAACAGTGATTATTTCCTCAAGAAAGCCTGTAAAATCTAAGCATAGGATCTGAAAGCCTGTTTCCCCTTTGCTTTCTTGACCTGATCTGCTTGGCCAGCTGACCTGACCCATGCAACTAGAGGGCTGCATGTTAGATTAGGATAAAATATTCTAACTGGCCAACAGAAGTGACTAGCAACTACAAATTATATATTACATCAACAAAGAAAAGGATCTGGCAGAAAAATGTAGGCAGCAGCTGGGCAACAAGATGGCCCAGAAGAAACAGGTCAGTAAAATATTGCAGGGAAAACAACAGTAAAGTCACCAGACAGCATTGCCCTGTGGACAACAGAATGGAAACAAAGCATTAAAGCTTCACCATTCTCCTTAAGTCAGTGACATCATATTACATAAAAATTATGAGGTAATGTGGGTCATTTCATAATCCATGTTTAAAGTATGCTATTTCCCTTTGTTGTCAATCCACCTATTGATCACGATCTACTGCTACAGCTTGGACAGTTACAGCCTGAGTTGGCATTTAGAGAGTTCTAACTCTGCTAAAGACATAAGAAGTGATCAAAGATACCCCAGAAAAAAATACACCTTTTGCTTCTATCTGTTTTAGGGGTAAAAAAAAAGGCACTGAGGAAATTATACACCCAAAAACTATGTTAAAAAATTAATGCTATCATGGTTCAAAAGTCAAGCTCTGAAGCCTTGAGAAGTAGCAGTTATAGAACTGAAATTAAACACTAAGATATAGCCTTTAACTATGTGACTAAATACTACTTATCCACACAGAATCCAGCTTCCTTTAGAAAGTGCATTAGTCATCAAGATGAGCAAGTGTCCAAAACCTTGCTTTCTCCACAATTATTCTCTGTCACTATGTCATACCTAATCAACACAATTCAAGCCTCGCTTTAGTAACTCCCAGGAGGAGAAAAATCAAGGAAGAGATGCAAAAATCATAACCATTCTTTAATTTTGGTTGCCTGATTTGAGATGCAAAGTGCTCTGAAAAAAACCTGGTCCCACACAATATAAAGCACAGCTCCCAAAGGCCACATCATCATCACTTCAAAGCTTTAAATTTCCAAACACTTCTGGGCTTATGTGGTCTTAACAGTATTCTTTTAAACAGGGCTTGTGT